TCGACAGCTATTCTGCTTCGACAGTCGCATGTACTGTGGCTCTTGCTGAAATGCTTATAATTATGCATGGTTACGATGAGAGCCTAGAACAAAGTAACATTCTTACCAAGAATAACAAGAGAAAAAGAACTTTTGAGAGAAATGAAACTTTATTTCTTCTGCCGCATGATTTCGAACTTTCATTAATAAAGTGTTTTTGAAAGTAGCTCGAAACTATTACTGGCTTGGGTTATTGCAAGGAATAAAGGAGAAATTCAAACATCCAATGTGACCATGAGTGAGGCGTGTTGTTTTTGTCGTCTCTTTATGAAATGCGCTGCAATAAAAATGACTCCAATAAAATGTGCTAGGCACTAAAACCAATGATGAATGATTAATGTTTGTGGTTGACCAATGCCGAACAAATGCCCATTCGTATTATTATTCTAATGGATTTTCTTGTGAGCTGGTGCTTTGTGTGTCTATGTTAGAGTTCCCTTTAAACAGTAGCTTTTCGGTTTGCGAGACTGTTATTTTTGTTTCCTTTTTAGGACACAGAAACCTCTTCGATGATTTGTATGACATGATGGGCACAAAAAATCAGAGCGCGTCACTTTCCAGACCATTATCACCTCTGTGGAAATTTGCTTGGATAGTTACAGCTCCAGTTCTGCTTTTTGTTCGTTTTTCCTTCATCATTTCAGAGTTGGACTTAAACAGTACAAACAAACTTGATTTAGATTTTCGCACTGTGACACTGACAGGAGAAACAAAGGACCCCCCGCATAACGTGGTGGTAAACGCGTTAGCCCTAGGATAGAGTAATAGCGCGTTCGCTCCCCTCCGCAGACACCTGTAGTCCGGAGTTTTGCAAATATCTCAACGTCATTGTGGTTGTATCACACCTTGATTCAATTAGCAGACATTAATAGCTTCCTTTAATTGTCTGATCAGTTACTTCTTCTGTGGTATTTGCAGTATAGCTTTACAGAACTATGTTGACTGTTTAACGTATTATTTACTGCCTATTCTTTTTAACGGCAAGTTATACATTGTGAAATACAGCTTCAATGATGCTGAGATATTTGCAAAACTCCGGACCGCAGGTGCTGATGGCGAAAGATCGATAGAACTAGCTGAGAGACAGGCAAAACGAAGGACCCGGATGGTGTGGTGGTGAAGTGCGCTGCTCCCCGGTAAAGCCAAAAACCCGTATTCGTTCCCCACCGCATACACCTGCGGTCCGGAGATTTGCAAATAACTCAGCATCATTGAAGTTACGTTGACTGTGTCTATGTGAGCACTGAGTGTTGTATCAGAATGAGACCAGAGTTTTCGTTGATTAAACGAAATTCCTTGGCTCTAACCTTGATACGCTTTCTTATTTTTAACGTTTTAAATAATCGCCCGTATTTCAGCTACTACCCTATTTGAGGGCGCGTGTGGCGCAATGGTTGGAGGCGTCACTGCAACACACACGTGGAACCGATTCCCGTGCCCAACTACATGGAGTGGACTAATAAAGAAAAGGTCAGTTTTTAAAGCCTTTGCCGAGTTTCTGTTTATATCGCTGTTTTGCAGCCGCTCAGCAGAATGTTCAATATACAACCCACACTGCTGTCGTACAAGAGAATAATGGACGAACTGCCGCCAAGTCGTGAAAGGCGCGCATCCGATTCAAAAACGAGAAGCACTCCCGAGACGAAAGCGATGACAAAGTCCGCGGAGAAAGCAGAAGAGTTCCCACCCTTCAGAACTAGTACAGCAGCCTACTGAATTGTAACTACGTCCTTGTATGCTTTTGAATACTGTGTATATTCGTATATAGCATATGATGCCATATAAGTCTAGTACAATGAAATAGTTTCCATATTTCATCTAAAGTAGCATTAAGCAGTGATAAAAAACTAAATGGCCTTAAGACAAGTAGGAAATAAATATTGATGATGATGTAGATTGAGATAGAATTGATGAGAGATCCTTGACTTACTGCCGTTTTATATGCTGAGGATTAGTGGTTGTGCTGTGAACTAAGTGAATGGCAGGACAACTGGCAGAGAGAAGAATAGTTAGTTCGACAGATGCTTTTTTTCGCTACATGGGCTGCCATGAGAGGCCAATAACAACTCTAAACGCCTTTACTCTACGAGCAATTCCACACCGCACACGTGAATCCAATGATTGTTGCACTCTGAATCATGGAGATTCTCCCCATGCTACCGATGCAACTGCAGAACATACAGGCTAAATTTATACAGTAGTTGCCTGGCATATCTTTCTGATGAATAAGGTGGAAAAGCACAGGTGATGGTTGCCGTATCAACTGGGCGGCAAAATAACGTTGACGCGTCATAGTTCTGTTCGTTTGTTAAAGAAAGGAGAAATAGATGGAAAGGAGAGACTGCTAATAAATAACAAAACAAAAAGTTCCACTAGATTCTACTGCAGGTATGTGGTAGCTTTGCAAACTGTGATTGCAGAAATCGATGAAATTTTCATTGCAATGGCAATCACACACTTGAGGTTGAAGCAGTACAGCAAGAAAATTGCTGTGTTTACGACTTAATCTGCCAGTGTTGGCAAAATGTGGTTTCGTTTATTTCAAGCATTAGTTTTGTATGGCATGCATGTCTGGCTCTTTATGACTCCGAAATATACTAGACACGAGATGTGGGCACCTCAGTAGCTCGTTTTTTCCTGGTAGCCAAATGTTGTTCTATTTTTCCCACTCGCGGAGTCGCAGTGCTTACCTCTAGTGACCGGTAGTGTCGTCGAAGCTGAGAATGCGCTCCATATTTCCATACAGCTTTCTAAGCAAGAACAGCGAGCACACACACAAAAGGTGCAAGCAGAGTGGACTACTAGATACTCCACTAAAAGTGACCAAGCAGTTTTATCTGGCTAATCTATGATAAGCGAGATTATAGGTAATTTTACACTGGAGGCTCTAGAAAACCAACACATCGCTATACTTATGAGACACAAAAATGCATGCAAATTGTTGCTGCGCTTATGTGGAATGTACGTCCGACTCTCCAAAAGACGCAATTCATCGTTCGTTATGATTCTTTGCAATTTCTACTACAAATTCGATTTTTTGCTATTTACTTTTCATCGTTCGTTGCAAACGGAGGTTATCCTGCGACCCTTCAAATCACCACAAACCGCTGAATTTCCTCGTTTCTTCAGCAAGTGGTCCATGAAAATTTGCTACAAGAAATTCGTAGAAATGTGTTAGTTAAATGCATCAATGAAGAAGCAGGTACTCAACTACAAAATGCCTCTCATCGAAGATCCAGTGCTCATGTGACGCTACAGTGTTTCATCATTCGTTTTTATACCTCATTAACACCACTTCTTTTCACCCTCGGATTAGCATCCACTCACTTCTGAGTTCTCGTCAGCCTTGATTTAGCCTTGCAAAGGCCGTTTTTGAACCTTCACCACGATATGAATTCGACAGAAGTATCTTTTCGGCTTCGTTCGGTTCCTTCCTCTCCTTCGGTCTCTCTAGTAGTTAATTCGGACATAATATTTAGACCACAAACAAAAATCAGGGCAAGAATGAAAAAAATGGCTAGCCGCTGAATGAGGATGTAAAAGCTAAAATCTACGATGATTGCAATGTGCTAAAAGCCTAATCATTCACTCTATATAAAACTTAGATTACTATGTCCGATAATAAGCAACGCGAAACGAAGGGCCCTCATGGTGTGGTGTGGTCAGCGAGCTAGACCCCGGAAAGGGTAGTAGCGCGTTCGTTTCCCACCGCAAACACCTGCACTCTGAAGTATTGCAAATAACTCAGAATCCTTATGGTTATACCTCACATCACGCCTTACTATGAAAAAAGAATAGGAAGCAAGTAAAAAAAATAGCCTCATATAATACTTCCCAAAAGACTACAAAACAGCCTGCACTTAGCCGTGAACCAGCACGGACGACTGCTTTGCAACCATGGAACTGTATTTGAGTGTTATTTTTGTTAACAATGACTCTTGATAACAAAACGATAGCTTGGCTCATTTGAGGTATAGCAACTGTGAGGCGCGGTTCATAGAGACAGTTTTTCATAAGCGGTGGGTTTTGCTGCTTTCTATAGCGCCTTTGGAGTTTGAAGATGTTTGCCTTTTCACTGAGTTCTTTCCAGAATTGCACGGGGAAAAGCTAAAAAAGGTCGAACTCTTTACCAATTTATTCCTGTTGTGAGCTATAAACAAAGAAGATGACCGAGTGAGTGTATTGTCGCTTGTGGCAAAAATGGATACACATCTTTTAAAGGAACGAACACAATTCTAAACGCTCACCAAACCAGTGTTTCCGTACTTTATTTGTGGATAAGAAACAAATATCAGTAACGAAACAATATTTGTCACTTGTTGGCTATGTATTTTTTTATTTTACATTATTTGATTCGTCTTTACGTTTACCATGCGGATCCCAGCACTTCTCACATTCGATTCGTTTCCTCATATCTACTATCCACGAAGGTCTTTCAACTTTTCACGTGTGGCTTGCTTGCTGCTTGAGGATTTTCATTTCATCTTAAATATCGTAGAATTCTGGTCGAGCAACTTTCCAGGAGTTCTGAGTCAGCCGGGCTGTAGCGTTCCCAAGTTAACTGGGATGAGTGGTATTTTCCCGGACAAGTCCGGTGCCAATTTCCCGACTCCAAAGGGATGAGAGGCATGGTGCACCATGGACAGAATCGAACCAGCATTATGCTTGTGATGACGGACATTACTACCACTGTGTTATACACTCGCTTTGTAAAATGGGAACAATAGAATTGCTGACATTACACTAATACGGTTTTTTCTCACTACTTTTTCGCTGCATTACTTAGTTATTCGTGTTAAACAATAAGAGAGAAGCTGACATTCAAGTCTTCCACATCTGAGAAAACGTTCAATGCAAAATCGAAACATTCTTCCGAAAAATCACCGCTCAGATTCTTCCACTGAAAGTGGAGGTCTTGTCAAAGAGAGCTTCGAAGCGAAGTTGTATCTAGCGGTCCAATTATGGTAGCAATCAGAGACTATACACACTCCTCGCAAGCAGAATTTCAACATTCAAGTGGATGGGATGCCTCTCGTGCTGGAATTTTCACTGGATTTCAATCCGTCAAAGTGACTAATGGAGTACTCGTAACTCTCTTTGATGTGCTTGTAGCATCCACTGTAAAATCTATCATGTTAAAGATTTTAATTGAATTTTAGGCGACTATCCAACCCAGTAAGCAACTCCGCAATGATTTTTCTCTGCACACACAGCTAATAGCAGCAATAATTCGAGTGTAACCACATCACCAATTTTCTGACGACAAGAGAAAGTGTTTCGTGGCGGTGAAGTTATCGTCATCCTCTCTGTGCTTGCTAATTACAGCAAAACAAATGGTGTACGTTCTTTGCGAGCATATCATTGCACCTGTTCTACATAAGAGTTTTGGCCTACTTCCTTCATTAGATCCACCCCTATGCAGCTACATCCATGGCATAAGTAGCGCTATATCGAGTCCTCTATAAAAGAAAATAGTACAGAAATGTCGATTCAACAGCCCTTCTAGTGTCTTGTTACTGTGCAGAAAGTTTATTTGGCACCTCAACCACTTCCCTGTCAAGTTTCGACATCAATAGGTAAAGAACTTGCGGAAGGTCACACATCCGGATGGACACGAAAGATCTTAGTATTTATTGTGCAGCAATGACCTTGCACGCACCTGTCTCAAAAGAAATTCTCACATTTTTTAAAAATATTCGGCGTCGTAGTATGGTGTCTATGATTTGTTATTCATACATTAAGCATGCTTCATTCGTAGTATTTGCGCAACGAATGCATTACAATGTCACCCCACAGTCGAGTAGTCTTCATTTTATCGAAATCCTTCTGTGACCACCGGTTATAGAATAAAAAGACGCGTTCCGCCTTACAGACTTTGATAATTAGTTAATACTTTTAAAAAACTCCATTGTAGTTCTATTGGTGACAAAAATTGCAAGGTTTTTAAGCCACTTGTGTAGGGCTTTACCAGATTCTCCCCTACAGATTATACTCCTAGCGCAATCCTGCCGAGTTACGATAGTATTAAGACTTTGCCCTCCATGCCCAGCGTTCAACTTTCCAAAGCGAAAATGGTGAACAGACTGCTTTAGAGTCGCTAAAGATGGTGATAAACCCAACTTTGCACTCCTTGCACCATACTCTGCTGCTCCTGAGCTCTCTAAGCTCGTCGTTTCATCCTACTTGAGCTTGCAACTAAGTCGTTTATTCGTTCATTTTGCTTTGTTCTTACACCAACGCACAAAGGTCTGTTAATCGGGAATATTTGTTATCATGAGTGGCCTTAGAGACCAGTTCTTCTCTCATCAACGTCATTTTCACAAAGGATAGGTTTCATCTGCCCAACGCTTGGTGCTTTATAAAAAAGATGTCATCAGTTAAATGAAGATGTTATGGCTCCTCATTTCAGTTTTCGCAAGAGTTTGAGTGGGTGCACGTGAAGTGCAATTACTCGATTTCTCTTCTCATCGATGAATATGTGTTTATAGAGTGCTGCAGCTGTAGTTGTGAGTTGGTGGTGGAAACCCTGCATCAGGTGACGTGAGGAAACCCGGATCGTTATGTTGGTGAGAATTAGCGGTGCGCGTCCTGCCTCTACATGGATGAAAATGAATGTGGATGTCGAAGAGGGAGTCAAATTTTTGAATGACCTATCCATGAGCTCTTGAGATCTCTGGAACCAGTCAGTGTTTTTTCTGGGGGGTCCGATAGCAGCAATCTCTTTTCCGCAATTTGCAAAGTGGTCCTTCCAGTTTGCAATTTTAGCTGGTGGTGCTGCCTTTGTTCACCTTAAATCTTTGTTGTCGCTTCGTAGTGATTAGCTCCATGGAATACAGTAGTTCGAGTCAGTCGTCACTAACGAATAATCGGCAGTTCAGAGAATCGGTGCCCAACTTCCACGCGAGCGATTGGTAGTGGGTACCAAATCAATGCACCAGAAATGTAGTGCCAGGTCCGTAGACTGCGGTATTTCTGGTCAACTATCAGTACCGGACAATCATCATTTCGAAATAGTGCGCTCGATGACGTTGCCACATGTGACTTCTTGTTTTCGCTACAGGGAAAAATTTCAGCCTTGGCAATAAAGCCTTTGTATAAAACAATAAAATAGTATGACAATAACAACATGATAAAAAAAAGAAAGCTCTCAGCACTGACCAATTCCGTAGAGATATGCCTTGCATTCAACTTCATTAAACATCATTTGAAGATGATTGAATGCATATCTGTCTTTTACAATGACTCGCGGTGGCCTACCGATGTATCAAGCCAGTGTTGATATTCCTCCAGACAAGTACCAATTTGAAGACCCCAGAAAGATGGAAGGCTTGGTGGTCCAAGTGCGCGGGAATCGATCCCATGTATATTGCAGGGCGCCTCCAACCACTGCACTCATTCTGCGCCGCACACGCTCATTAGTTGTCCCAGCGGTCGCCAAGTGATTCGTGTAGGGGCCAGTAAACCTTGCGTTTTTCCTGCCGTGTACAAGACTAGCCTAATGGGTCTTCCATTTTAATCAGTGACTCGTTGAACATCATATTTTTTCTACGGTTTTGGCGAAGAGCTCTGACCATCTGGTCCTGTTTTTGCAGCGCCGTTAACATCTCGAGGAATGCAGTCAGTAATGGGTTTTGTCCTTCGGTTATCGCTCATGCACATCACGTGTCCAGCTCACTCTATCTTCGATAACTTGGCGTTAAAAACGGCATCTTCAATTTTTGATCGCTGACGCTGGTCGGATCTTCGGATTCTCTCACTTACACGATACGACATAGACCTAGCATCGTCCTTTCGCGTGCGCGTTTTATAAGGCCGAATGGACTTTCGTACTGCTCACGTAGAGACGAGGTTTTCAACGCGTACATTAAGACAGGGAAAATCGTGGAGTGGAAAAGGTGGACATGGAGTAGGGAGTTCTTTACTCTGCTCACTATATTCCCGACGTTTTTGATAGCTCCACTGGCTGCACGTTTGTTTCTGCTCACCTCTTCTTCTTCATCAGCTTAGTTCTCCGGAATGTAGGCAACCTCTCCTTCAAGAAGACAAGCCGTTCGTCATGTTGATTTCCTGTGCTAGATAGACGAAACTGAGTCATTCGGAGATACTCGATTCGGATCCTGGATAACTTGGATCCCTGCCCAGATTCGATTCGTTGCAGTGGGTAACACTAGAGCTCACGGAAAGGGTGATCGTGGGTTCGAATCTGCACTGGAATCTTGCAAATACTGCAGTATCATATTGGTTTCATTTCGCATCATACCGCGAATTGGGAAAAATTGGCAGCGAGCAAAAGGTTAAATATGCGTAGCATATGTTATCTATACATGTACACATAATGTTTTACTTTTTATTTTCCGCCTAATACAATTTTTACGGCAGGGTATTATGGGGAATACAACCGCCGCGATGCTGAGATATTTGCAAAACTCCGGACCACAGATGTCGAGTGCTAACGCGTTCATCACCACATCATGCGGGTACTTCGTTTCGCCTGTCTGTCAGCTAGTTCCGAGGAAAGGGTAATAGCGCGTTCGTTCTCCACCTCAGACATCAGTGGTACGGAGTTTCGCAGATATCTCAGCACCGTTGTGGTTGTACATATATATATATATATATATATATATATATATATAAAAGACATGCTTTATTTTTGAGATGCACAGAGTGGCAGCTCATCCAGTGAATTCATTCCCGTTCCACGACGTCAATTACAATTCCACATTTGGCCCGAGTTCCCGCCTCGAACGTGTCCACTCGTCTGGTATTTAAACAGCTGGAAAGGAAGATTTGTAAATTTTCGGTGTAACTGTGAAAGAAGTAACAGTTGTTTGTTTGCCGTTGTAATGCAAAGTGTTCTTGTTTAATATTTTCATCCCGCTGTACACATTCGCCGAAGTATCGAATTACTGGCTCGTGTTTCAACCCCTGTCATATTTGGCAAATGGTCCACTTCGTTTATGAGTCCCTAGCTTGCCGAATCTCTTAAAAATTCTTGATTTAGATTTGCCATAAAAATCTCTCACTTCAACCACAACGTTGCTGAGATATTTGCAAAACTCTGGACCGCAGGTGTCTATGGTGGGGAACGAACGCGCTATTGTTCTTTCCGGGGAGTAACGCGTTCACCACCACACCATGCGGGTCC